TTTTGACAGGCAGAGTGGACAGTAAGGGAGAGAGAAAGAGAGAAATCTGGTCTTCCTTCCATTGGTTGACCCCCTAAATGGCCGCTACGGCCAGCGTGCTGTGGCCTGCGTGCTGCGCTGATCCGAAGCCAGGAGCCTGGTGCCTCCTCCTGGTCTCCCACGCAGGTGCAAGACCCAAGGACTTGGGCCATCCTCCACTGCACTCCCGGGCCACAGCAGAGAGCTGACTGGAAGAGGAGCAACCGGGACAGAATCTGGCACCCCGACCAGGACTAGAACCCAGGGTGCTGGTGCCGCAGACGGATAATTAGCCTAGTGAGCTGCAGCGCCGGCCAGCATTGCTCTTTTTTAAGTGTCCATTTCTTTACTCTTGCTCAGTGCCTACAGTGAGCCAGGGCCTGTGCTAATTGTGTTCAATACATTGTTTAGTCATCTTTAAAGCAAGCCCCCAGGAAGTAAAGCAACAAGCCTGAAGTCCCAGTTAGTATTCAGAGCTCCTCCAAGTTGTACTGCCGTCTCCAAAGGGCGAGTACCATCTTCTCCTGCAGCAACCTACTGCAACAAGCTCCTCATCGATCCTCCTACCTCGAAGTGCTCCTGCCCTTCCTCAGCTCACAGTCCAGCCAGATAAACCTACAGAAAATGGAAGAGCTTCCCGAAGCTTCCTACCACACACAGTATAAACTCCTGTTTGTTTTTCAACATTTCATTTCAGAATAGTGTTAAATTTACAAAATAAACATTGTGAGGTAGTAATACACATAATGTTCCTATGCCCCTCACCCTACATCTTATATTTGTCACAATTAACTGCACCACACCTGGCTTCCCCTACTTTTTTATCCAAACTCCCTGTACCTCTTCCACCCCTCCTAGCTTCTAGTAATCAACATTCTGTGTTCAGATTGTATTTTTTTTTTAATTTAGCTCACATACAAAGGAGAACATGTTCTCTTTCTGGGTCAGGCTTATTCCACTCAACACATGATGTTCCCCAAGTCCATCCATTTTACAGAAAATGACAAGATTTCATTCTCTTTTTTATAGCTGAATAGCATCCCACTGTGTATATGCATCATATTTTCTTTGTCCATCTATGTGATGATGGACACCTTGCTTGATTCCGTGTTTTGGTTTTTGTGCACAGTGCTGCTATGAACATGATGAAGCAGGTACCCCTTTGATACAATGAGCCCACATCTTTCTAATATCCTTGAAGGAGTCTGTGATGTACTGTGGAGACTCCTGTCTCACTCACCTCATCTACTGCATCTCCCCAGGAGTTTGTTTCCTTTTTTAGTTTGTTTGTTTGAAAGATACCAACCTTATGCCACATTCTGGCTCTTGTACTTGCTACTCCCTCTTCATAGGCATCCTACAGCTCATTGGCTAGTAAAGAATGTATCACCAGACCAGTCTAAATTTTTCAGCTAGTACTTTGTAGGTGAAGAGCCACCTCCCCCTCTAACCCTCATGCCTCTTACTCTGTGTTATTTTCTTCAGAAATGATTATGTTTTATTTGTCTCCTATCATTAGAAAAAATAAACTTCCTGTTCTTTGTCATATTCCCAGGGTGTGAACAGTGCCTAACATTGTAGCTTGCACTTAGTGTATACATGTTGAATGAACAGAAGGATGAAGTTATTCTTTGAACCCAAAAGTGTCTGAAACCAAAATCCATGCTTTGAACCCCAGCAGCTTGCTGTAATTTTTGTCGATTTTTTATGATGAATTCAGTCCCGAGTGAGGCATAGTATATGGGAGTGTGTGGGTTATGTAGGAATAGCATACAGTCTTCTCCCTTCAAAACATGTATTACTTAGTTGGCATAAACATTTCTTTTTTTTAAATTATTTACTTATTTGAAAGTCAGAATTACACCAGAGAGAAGGAGAGGCAGAGGGAGAGAGGTCTTCTATCCACTGGTTCACTCCCCAGTTGGCCACAATGGCTGGAGTTGTGTCAAACCGAAGCCAGGAGCCAGGAGCTTCTTCCAGGTCTCCCATGTGGGTGCAGGGGCCCAAGGACTTGGACCATCTTCGACTGCTTTCCCAGGCCATAGCAGAGAGCTGGATCAGAAGTGGAGCAGCCAGGACTTGAACCAGCGTCCATATGGAATTCTGGCACCTCAGGCGGTGGCTTTACCCACTACGTCACAGTGCCAGCCCCTAACATTTCTTCTTGAGTCAACAGATACAATAAGTGCTGGGTGAAGAGCATGGTATCAGAGAGCATCAGACTGCAGAAGAGGGGTCAGTGAGGACACAAGTAGTCTGCAGAGGCCTCCTGAAGATGAGGGACTTGACAGGAGCCTGGAACGATTCGTGCCATTTAGAGAGGGGGAGGGAAAAACTATCAGTTTATCAGATAAGACTTAGAGAGCCAGGTGCATTTGTGCAGGAAAGGGTCTAATAAATGATGGTGATTAGAGTACGCCAGGCCTGGGACATTTGTTAGATTCTTCTATCTTGAAAAAATTCACTCCCCTGTTATATGCAAGTGTAGTTGAAAACAAGGCCAGCAAGAAAAGAGGGAAGGAAGAATGGGAAAGCAAGGCAGTGAGTTTCCTTGTTTCTGGCCTCTAGTTGTCATGGTGGGGGGCAGCTGAGCCAAGACCTGGCACACAGTGACTGTCAGGCACTTACTAGCCCTCTTACTCCTAAAGGTCTCCTCTATGGGATTTCCCTGGAGTTCCACACTTTCTCCAGAAAGAAATCTGGACTCACAACACAGCAGCAACTTCTTAGGGCAAGTAGTAAGGAAAGTTGCCCTGTAGCATTGAGTATGCCTGGGTCATGGTGCTGTACAGAGCCTGGCCAATGGCAGAGATGATCCAGACCATCCATGCATTTCCCAGAGGGCCTCCTAGTGAAATGTAGAGCAAAGCAGTGCTCGTAGAACCAAGTCATGAGCTAGTGAAGATGACTATGCTCACAATTAACAGCCAGCCAGCCAGCCAAGAGGAATTCTATGCCAAGAGTCATGCAAAAACACCTGGGCTACAGTGAGGGTCTGACGGTCTCTTTTCCTTGAGGAATTCATAGTCCAATCACCAAGAAAACCATGTGTAGTTAATTGCTTGATTTTCTACCTATGTTTCCAGGTCAGGATTGAATGAAACATCACATACCCACGTTTGTCCACAAACCACACCACACCCAACAAAAATACTCCAGAAAGGGAAAAGACTGTAATTAACATTTCTCTCTCTCTTAACCTCTTCCCAGAAGGGTGATAAAGAAAGATTTGGTCTCAACTGGGCCACAGGCAGGGATTTGCATTTTAAAGTTTGACAGATATTTATTGACCTTTTGATCTCCTGTCTCCTCTTCACCCACCCACCCCAGCCCTGCTGCCTGCTCCTCCCCCACCCCTGTAGTCCCTTATCCTGCTCCAGGTACAGACTTCAGAAATGATGGTCCAGGTCAAGAGGCCTCTGGGATGGATGCCCTCATGTGACATGCTTGTGGCAAGATAGCTTCTGTTAACCAGAACCAACCATAGAGCAAGTGCTTTTATGTCCTGACCCTGCAGTCACCCTAAAATGTTCATATTTATTTATCATTTTTGAAGTGAGAAGGAATCTGAGGCTCAGAAAGGCTTGCCCCAAATCACCACTAAGAAGTAGGGGGAGGGGCGCAGAACTGAAGCCCAGGTCTGTGTGCCTCCAAACTATGACCTTTTCATTAAGCCAAGCTGACTCCAGTAGACAAGGCTGGTTATTGTGGGCTACTGAGTTAAGATCCTTCTCGGAAAAGGTAATCTGCATTCCAGTTTTCTTGCTGGTGTTATTCTGCAAATAGCCCAATAAACGTCACCGTTTGATTTACTCGAGGGCAAACTTGCAGCTGTCTCTTCCTTCGCAGCTCTTTTTGGGCTCTGACTTTTCCCTCTCCTTCTATCGTCTTTCACACAGGCTGCTCAATCCAACAGCTGTGCATCTTGGTCTGGGACCATCACTGCAGCCCCATGGGATCTGCCCAACAGTCTCTCCAACTCCAAGAAAGTCTACCAGAAACAAGCTCAGAATTTCAGACCCTTACGGTTTTGCAGCTGGAGCGAATCCTGAGAGCCCTCTAGGAAACCTGAGGTTAGAGAACGGCCTGTGCAATGCGACCCGTGTCAGCTTATTCGAATATGACAGGTTGGCTCTGCTTAAGTGAAAGACAAAGGAAAGAAGTCAGATCAATGAAAACGTCAATGTGCCTGGTGCTCTGCCTCATTTAATCTGCTCTGCACCCAGGGAGGTACAGTTAATTACGGCCCTTGTGTTCCACATGAGCCCTGGCTCAGAGAAGGAGCTGATGCAAAGGCCTGCAAGGACCTGAGCTCAGGGAGCTGTCATTAGCACAGCTCTTTCCCCACAGCATGTGGAGTGTGACAAAGAGTATGGCCAATGTGCTGGCTGGGACAACTGATCAACCTGGGAGCAAGCAGTGTAAAGAGCCAACAAAGAGATGAATTCAATCATTTTGTGGACTTCATGTAGACTAAAGTCATCTGGCATTCACAACAGCCTTTGTCATATTTTGACCAAGAGGGCCTCCCCTGCAAAATAAGGGCTCCCCCCCCACACTGCCCATCCCCCTGCCTATGACCTCTCTTAAAACGTTCTGAGGCTGTTACCAGTTAGAGGATTCTGAAAGCTCTCTTCCTCCTTGGAACATCCACCCCCCTCCTCAAAGAGGGGGCCTCAGAAGTGCCAAATTGGGAGCCATAAGAGAGGCATTGCTGAGTCTTCCTGTTGAGGTTGAGAGATCAGGTTCAAAGCTCAAGCCGCAGCTTCCCCACCTCCTCTCCCCACCCCATCAGGAATGGTCCTTCCCTTCCCCCTCCCTGGTTCCCTGTAAAAACCTCTGGACTGTGCTCAGCTGGGGTCAGCTGGGGAGTCCGAGGCATCCTTTTGCTTTCCCTAGTTCCCCACCCCCCCCCCCAACCTCACAAAGGAGGCACCTGGGAAAGTTCCCCTCCAACAGGAAGAGCTACAGAAAGACAGAAATACTCCCTGCTCGACACCCAGTGTCGATGGCTGTGGGCCTTGGGCTGCTCATGGGAAAGCTTATTTCTCAGTGAATCCCTGTCATCCATGCAGCTGTGGGCCCAACATTCCAACAAGGGTGGGCGGTAATTCTGGTTCAGTGGCTGCAAATCTTTTGTCCAGCGAGTGCTGACCTGGTCCCCAGGGCTCTTCAAGGTACAACTCCAGCCTGTGCCTATCAAGGCCTTTTCCGGCAGCCTCATTCTCTTTAGACCAGAGAGGCCCACACATGACTATTATGAGAACAGGCTGTTACTAAGGGCATTCAAGTTCTGCCTCAAAGGACACCTTGGATCTACTTAAACTTTTCTGCACCTTAGTATTACCCATTCTGGAGCACACTGTTGACCTGCTAATGACAGTGTCACCAAATGTCCTTTCTTGGCCTCATTTTTCTCGTTTGCCAGTGAGAATATTTTTTCCTATTAGAACACCTGCATCCTTTTTATCCATCCACCCAGTAGCTCTTGGCCTTTTACAATATCAATATTCTTAGAATTGTATCTATGAACTACATTGCATCTGGTAAAGAGTAAAATGCTAAAAATAAATAAAATAAAAAATAATAGCTCACAGTATCTACAGGTCTCCCCACCAGTGAAACATACATGGACACATATACAATTTTTGTTTCATGCCTGAAGCACATCCCTGGTGTCCGTCACACTAAGGACCTTGGGTGTGAACAGCGAGATCCTCGCACAGGAGCTGCACTATGTAATGGGGTTTCTGGTCCATAATAGATACAGCATTGGGAAAATGTGCATCACACACTGAATAAATAAGCCAGTCTGGAAGTGAGAACTTTTTAAGAGCAAAGTCAGTGTGGTGAAGGAAGTGATTGATTTTCTACCATAGTAAGAGAGGTTCCATGCACAGCTCGAAGTAATCCTCAAGGCAGGAATGGGAGCAGTTAGCACAAATGAGGGTGGCCAGCATTGAAAAGTGAAATACCTTGAGACAGCACGTACTGGATCAGGTGCCAGGTAAGTGATTCTGGGGATTGTAAACCTCTAAACCAGTTGCTCTCACATCCATCCTTCCTGGTGTCCATGGCAAGTCCATCACAGAAACATAGTAGCGGGCTCCATTCCCTGAGGTCTTATTCAGGGATGTGTTTAGGGAAACACTGTTGGAGATCAGGGAGAGACATGGAGAAAGAGAAGAACAAAAGGAGAAAAGAGAAATAATGGTGTTTTTGCTACACATCCATTCAATGGACATGGTCAGAATAACAAATCACTCTCCCTTTCTTATTGTATTTCCTTCCTTTTTATTTACTGTGGTTATGAAGAATTGTTCTTTTTTTAAAAAAATTTTAAGACAGAGTGACAGAAAGAAATGGAGTATTCTTCCATCCACAAATTCACCAGCCAGAGCTGGGCCAGGGTGAAGCCAGGAGCCAGGAACTCCATTCAGGTCTTCCACGTGGGTGGCGGGGACCCAAGTACTTGAGTTGTCATTGGCTTCCTCCCCGGGTAAGCTTCAGAAAGGAGCTGGATCAGAAATGGAAGGAGTGCTTGAACCCAGGCACTCTGAGATGGTATACAGTTGTCCTCAAATGGAGGCTTAACCTGCTGCACCACAAAACCCTATGATCAGGTTTTTTTTTTTTTTTTTTTTTTTTTGACAGGCAGAGTGGACAGTGAGAGAGAGAGACAGAGAGAAAGGTCTTCCTTTTACCGTTGGTTCACCCTCCAATGACTGCTGTGGCCGGCACACCATGCTGATCCGAAGCCAGGAGACAGGTGCTACTTCTGGTCTCCCATGTGGGTGCAGGGCCCAAGAACTTGGGCCATACTCCACTGCACTTCCGGGCCACAGCAGAGAGCTGGACTGGAAGAAGAGCAACCGGGACAGAATCTGGCGCCCTGACCGGGACTAGAACCTGGGGTGCCGGTGCCACAGGCAAAGGATTAGCCTAGTGAGCCGTGGTGCGGGCCCGAATGATCAGATATTAGCATGTGCAAATTCCTTCCTCCCTTCCTCTCTCTCTCTCTTTCTCTCTCTCTCTCTCTCTCTCTCTCTCTCGTTCCCTTTCTCTGGAACTACTACTCCTGGCAGGATGGCAGGACCATGTCACTGTGCATGTAGGAAGGACTGCTTAGCAATTCCATGGTAATAGAGGAAGAAGATTATAAGCCTACCATGTTCCCCTTCTGCTACTCCCTCAGGAAAATTGGACAGAGTCACCCAGAGCCCTTGACATGAGCCATTTTTTCCAAGTCCTATATTTCAGGTGGTTCACACTCACTGCTTCTCCCCAAAGGACCAAGAACAAAAATAGGAAGTACCATGGCTACCTCTAGCTGTGAATTACCGAAAGCACCCTAGGGTTGGCTTCTCAAGGGTCAAAAATGGCCATTTGGCCCTGGACTGGGATCAGATGAGCTAAAGGACAATTATTCCATGAAATGGAGATGTCTGGTCCTCAAACCCATGAATTCTGGCTCTTGAGGTTAGAACAAGCCCAGGAATCTATACCAGGTAACTCTGGTGGGCAACCAGATTTGGAAGCTGAGGAGGACTTTAGAACCACAAAATCTGCTCTAGCCCTCCATCTGGCCAAGGTCAAAATCCCCATCCTAGATCTGGTTGTGGGTGTTTCCAGGCCTTTCACCTATAATGCTACTTGAAGATACAGGCACTTCTTGATGGCACTTCTAGGAAATCTTCCTGGATTCCCATCGACTAAAGTTTGTTTCCCCTTTATCTTTCCTCCTGAAGCACATTTTCAGTGACTTTATTACGCTTTTTTGCATCACCCCCTCCTCATATAACATTAGCTACCACCACTGTGTCATAGAAGTATAAACCCAGCCCCATAATATAATGCTTTACTTTCTTAGTAGCCACCTTTAAAAAATAGAAATGGTGGGGCCAGCGCCGTGGCTCACTTGGTTAATCCTCGGCCTGTGGTGCCGGTATCCCATATGGGTACCAGGTTCTAGTCCCGATTGCTCCTCTTCCAGTCCAGCTCTCTGCTGTGGCCTGGGAAGGCAGTGGAGGATGGCGCACGTGCTTGGGCCCTTGCACCTGCATGGGAGATCAGGAGGAAGCACCTGGTTCCTGGCTTCAGATCGGCGCAGCACCAGCGTTGTGGCCACTTGGGGAGTGGACTAATGGAAGGAAGACCTTTCTCTCTGTCTCTCTCTCACACTGTCTATAGCTCTACCTGTCAAATAAAAAAAATTTAAAAAATAGAAATTGCAAAATTTTAATATATTTGGTTTAGCTCAACAGTTCAAACTGTTATCTTTTAACGTGTAATCAGTATTAAAATTATTAGTGAGACTTTTTACAATTTTTATCCATACTCAGCATTTAGTATCCAGGGTGTATTTTATATTTCCAGCACATCTCAGCTTTGACCAACTAACTATATGTCAAATACTCAATAGCCTTATGTGGCTGGTGGGTGCCATGTTGGATGGCACTGGTGCTTTGAGACTAAATTAATGAGTTTTACCTCTGGGTCTTCAGACATAGCATTGTCCCTGGACCCAAATAGGTGCTTAGAGAGTATCTGTTAGAGCCAATTCAAATGCAGACTTCTAGAGAGTGTCCTTTGGTGGTTTAGTTTGGCTGTTTTAAGGCAGAGTATCTTGGAGATAAGAGTGAGCAACAGACAAATTCATCTTATAAAGAAGGGGGAAGCCATCCAGAGAAGGTGTCATTGGGAAGGGTCAGGGTAAGAAGCAGCTCAGGGGCCCAGAGCACTATGGGTAGCAGAAAAAGGCAGTCAAGCCAAAGAAGCCTCCATTCTGCACCGTGGGATAGGACAGTGCAGACAAAAGGCCTTGATGGCTTTGAACCATCACAGTCTCCTTTGTGCAAGTCATCTTGAGCTGCTGAATACCATGCTGGCCACCAAAGGATCTGGTCACAGAGCAGTGTGGTCAGTCCATCTCTCAAACCAGTTGCAGCCAAAATATCTTCAGCAAAGATTTCTTCTGAAAACAGATTGAGATAGTTCACACACTGGCCGCAGGCTTCCTAGGAGAGCACAGTGGCTTGCCTCATAACTCAGCCACAGTCAGCACAATTAAGAAAAACACAGTTCACATTTCTGTTGATGAATTGCCTACAAGGCAGTGCCCACATATATATAGTCACAGCTTTCCAGGAAAGACATCTCTGAGTTCAAACTCTGTTCCTTAGGTCCTCTGAGGTCAAACAATTGATGTACAGAGACATGGGGAGTGGCACTTGGAACTTTCCAAGCTGGTTGTCACCAGCAGCATGGTACATTTCAGCTGCAGAGGTCCCAAGGAGAACCAAACTCTGGTTTGGGCCACATTGTTCCAGAGAAGACCCTGAGCAAGAGCCCAGCCTTTGGAGAGGACAACCCTGTTTTCCAAACAGCAGCCCAGCAATTTACTTGAAACATCCAATCTACTAGGATACTTACCTGTTTCCTGAAAGGGATTTTTGGTAGTTTGTACAAAGTAGTACAGCCAAACATGTAAGACCTTGGGCCACTAGCATGTGACCTTGAGCAACTTACTTTCCCCCTCTCAGCCACAGGTCCCTCAGCTGTGAAACTTGAGTAGGAACAGTGCCCATCTTCTAGGGTGCTGTGTTGATGAAGCTACGAGATAAAGTACGGATCAAAATGCATGGAAAGCGCTCCATCAAAGTTTGTTTGAAAATTAAGCCCAACATAAAACAGAATAATTTAAGGCAGGAAAATGAATTGTAGAGTGTGGAAATATTCTCAAGCAGGTGGCTCTTCCTTTTAGTCCCTAGCTGATAGGATGCCACAGAAGGAAAATGTTTTGTCAGGCTAACATTAGCTGCAGGTCCAATCGAGGCTGCCAAGAGGTAGACTTCTAGTCATAGTGGATAAGAAAGAATAATTGACATTGGTAGAGATGGGTTATACACCGTAGCCAGAGAACCTCTACCAGCCAAGTCGCAGCAATGGGATTGGCTGCCAGTCTTCCAAGGAGAGTGAAAAGGCCAAGTTCAGTCTGGAGGAAAAGGAAGGGTGGGAGTGGAATAGGAGGCTCTGTGGACAAGTAAGCTGGGTTATAAGAATGTGAATAGAGGGACTCCTGTTTTCGTACAGCAGGTTAAGCTGTCACTTGCAACACCTGCATCCCACGCGGGAGTGTGGGTTTGAGTCCTGGCTACTCCACTTCTGGTCCAACTCCTTGCTAATGTGCTTGTGAAGGCAGAAGAAGATATCCCAAGCACTTTGGTCCCTGTCACCCACGACAGAGTTCCTGGATCTTGGCTTCAGCCTGGCCTGGCTATTGTTTCCATTTGTGGAGTGAACCAGCAGAGAAAAATTCTCTTTCTCTCTCATTCAATAAATAACTATTTATTTATTTATTAATCTTCATTTCAATAAATAAATACATCTTTTTAGTAAAAGAAAAGAATATGAAAAGAGGAAACAGGCCAAACAGTTACAGTTCCCATAGCCTCAGAGGACAATGCTAAGACCCTAAAGATGGCAACAGCTTGTGTTGCAGGGAAAGGAGGAAAGGAGATGGAGGAGGGAAGGGGAGAATTTATTTCTGATCCCATTGTCTCTTCCTTGGCACAGACACTGCTGGGGCCACCCAGCTCTGCCAGGAACATTCGTCGGCAGGGCCTGTCACAACTGCTGTCACAAACAATCAAGAAGATCGTGCAGCCCCGAAACACTCCTTCTCCTTCTTAAGGACGCCAGGAACGGCTCATCTAAGATGCTTACCTTCTTTCTGCCTGGCTTCCTAACTTGTTCTTGCCAACCCTGGTCTTCCTCTAAGGAACAGATAATATCTTGAGAACACTTTGAGCTACGAGAAGGGAAAACACAGTGCACATACCCCCTCACACGCAGTCATTACCGCGGGACGCCACCTCCTCTGTTCTGGCTCCATCCAGCTGGCAACAGCTGTCCAGCTCACTACAGGCAGCAACAGCTGCGGTAATGAGCCTGCCATTTGAGGGTGCAGGCGACACAGTCTCGGTCCCACCGTGCAGCTGCTCTTTCAAGTCTCATGTCTTGTCCCTCCCTTGGGGCTGGAAAAGAGAGCCCTGTCTTAAATCCCTGTGTCTGAAGTTTTCCTGTGGAGAAATCCTCTATTCATGTTCCCAGTAGCACAAGCTTTTAATGCTGCCATTTATTGGTTAGTTTTGTCACAAGCAAGCACAAAAAAGAACTTCTTAAAAATTCTTCAATGGACACGACAGCATGAGCCCCTTATGAGATTATAGTGAAATGCCAAGGATGTAACAAATGTGAAAATCTCTTACAAACTATAAGACAATATTATAGTATTAGTAATTCTTTGTTTTTTTTTTCTTTTTATTAATTTTTTTTTACTTATTTGAGAGGCAGAGAGAGAACATGCACATTCTTATCTGCTAGTTTATTCCCTAGCTGTCCACAATGGCCAGGGCTGGGATAGGACTGAAGCTGGTAGCTGGAATTCAATCCAGGTCTCCCACATGGGTGTCAGGAACTTAACAACTTGAGCCATCATTTGCTGTTTCCCAGGGCACAGGGAAGCTGCATTCAAGAACTGGAGCCAGAAGCCACATTCAAGTGCTCCCATAGGGACTTGGACATCTTAGCCACTAGATTAAATGCCTACTATTAGAAATTATTAAAGACTTCATTCATAAGTGTGACAAGTGAAGAAAATGACTGAAAAACATAGGTCACTCCATGGACCATACAGATAAACAGTCAACAAGGGCTGGCAGAAGCAGACAGGGCTTCTGGAGGAGACTGTTGACCCTAGCTTGGTGAGATTGGCAGAATCTGAGAGGCCAAGGGTCAGGGGGGAACAGCTGGATGTGGGACACAGCCCAGGCAAAGGCTGAGCACAGAAAATGTGGCCTAGGGACAGTGCAAAGCCCTCTTGGATTTGGGCAGGGGATGGACCTGAGCACCCGGGTGGAACAGTCAGGATGAACCTGACTATGGAACGGGCAGAGAAGATACCAGCAGAGGTTCCAGCAAGCATACCAAGGCAAGGGTTTGTAAAAGTCTGGTGATTGTCTAGTCCTGTGGGCTGTGTCTCATGGATTCATCTCTCTCTGACAATCCAGACCCAGGGGCCTGAGTTGCAGGTAGCATCTCAGTTCCTGGCTCAGTTGCTCTGGTACCCTAAAAGGTCTTCCACCTGTTCAAGTAAGCCCAGACCTTCCGGGAGGGGGTCTGCAAACCCTCTTTTTGAAAATAGGCTTCCCATCTCCCCAGGCGATCCTTCTCATTAGAACTATGTGGGAATGTGTTGCATGTGAACTGCATGGGAATGTGGTACATGGTTCTGGATTGGGGCTAGGGGGAGGGTCTTCCGTGAGTTTTGTACTTGCTGGAGATAGAGGATGATGGCTCAGTCCATGAAAGGTTAAACACAGTCATTTAGCTGCTAGCAACTATGTTCTGAGATGGAAAAGTCTGGAACCTTTTTTCTAACAGGAACAATTCGTCCTCTTCCATCTTTTCTGTTGCCCTTCCCTGAGCCTCTTCTCTCTTTCTTCCTACCTTGTGCACACTAAACCTGGAGACCCAAGAGGGACTGCAACTCTTACCATATCCAACCAGACAATATCCTATTTATCTTTACAGGAGTCTCTTCCTTCTTGTAGCCCTCTCTCCTCCTCCCTGTGATGCCCCTCCTTCTCTGACCCCCTTCCTCCCTTCATTTTTCTCTCCTTTCCTCCCTCCCTTCCTCCTTCTTTCCTTTCTTCTGTCTTTTGTTTTCCTGGTCTTTCATTTTGTTTAGTTTTACATGGATGTACTTCCCAGATGTTTGATTCAACTTGAGGTCACCTGTGATTCCTGAGTCTTTTCCATTTGCGTGTGGACCTACTCAGGTTTGCATAGTCAATGCTTTAAAAAAATTCTAATTTTTAAAGTAAAACCTTGTTAAGTTTAGAAAATACTGACAATTTTAAGTAATGCTAGGAGCTGCCAGCAGTTGAATGCTTATTATGTCCAAGGCCAAGTGTCATGTAATTTCTTTACATGTATTAATCGTCACAATGCTTCCAGGATGAAGATGCAGTTTTTTCCACACTACAATAAGGAAAGTGACATGGCAAGGTAAAATTCTCTGCTTATGATCACATAATTGTGTAAGAAGAGAAGTCAAGGTGAGAAGTTCGGCTTTGTAAGTGTGGTTCCCTGGTCAATGCTCCTAACCATAACACTAGACTGCCTCTAGAAAAGAAAGTAAGATTAATGAAGAGAAAAAAATCACTCTCAATGCCTATTACCAAAAATAACCACTCTGAACACTTACCCCCTTTTTATGTATATGGGCTCTGATTCGTGTTCCAGCTGCTCCTCTCCTGACCCAGCTCTCTGCTTATGGCCTGGGAAAGCAGCAGAAGTTGGTTCAAGTGCTTGGGCCCCTGTAGCCACATGGGAAACCTGGCTCCTGGCTTTGGATCAGCTCATCTCTGGCTGTTGTGGCCATCTGGGGAGTGAACCAGAGGATGGAAGACCTTTCTCTTTGTCTCTCCCTCTCTGTCTATAACTTTACCTCCCAAATAAATAAATAACATTTTTTAAAAATTTATATTTTGCTTAAAAACTCTAAAATTATATGTCCTATCTTAAGTATTCTTCATAAATAGGCTTTATCAACTACATAATATTCCACCACATTAACAGGACATACATTATGCACTTACCTCTCTGTGTTAGATATTTAAGTTGTTGCTAATTTTTTCACTGTCATCATAACTATGTTTATGGTACATGTTCTTGTTCATAAATATTGGACCACAACTTTCTTTAGTTCCATAAAACAAAAAGTCCTTGTCTCAAAGGTACTTTCAAAACTTAGATGCCCTCTGGAGGCTTTAAATATTTTGGAGACTGAAGTAGTTGACTCCGGCACAGGGGAGTGGGGGTAGAATCACTTCCCCATCCTTATGCCTTCTGTGCCAATTTGGGAGGTGAAGAATGGCCTGGCCTTGTTGTGTCCATTTACATCCCTTTGATTACTTCTCTTCTGCATTTATGAGCCACTTGTGTTACTTCTTTCGTGGGCTGTTTACTCATGCCTTGTTCCTTTCAACCGATGACAGGCCTGCATTTTTCTAATCTGTCTGAAACCCTTTGACAGTCATAGGTGACTATCATATCAAAATATTAAGAACTGTTTTCCTGAATTTGTCCTTTACCTGTGTCTGCTTGGTAGGTGTCAGTTCCCTTGCAAATATGGAAATCAGCATTAACAGTAGGTCAGGGAGGAGGCCACAGTGTGTGGGAATTCCCAGGCTGACTGTGCACATATCCTCCTAAGAACATTTTTAGGGTGAGTAACACGAGCTTTGGCATCACTGGGGAAGAAGGAGGCAGCCCCTTTGCACATTTCTGCCTCACAGGCTGGGAGCAACAGAGGGGGAATCCTTGGAGAGCAACCTTCCTGCAAGTTGCTTTCAACTTTTTGACATGGGTATTAAAATGCCACCCCGAGTACCAGCGGTAATAAAGAAGCTGACTTAAAAGAGGGAGGAGGTGTCAATGTAACACGTGAGGTTTTTTTTTTTTTCTTAAAAAAAAAAAAAAAAAAAAAAAAAAAAAAAACCTTGCAGGCCAGTTGCTGGAGAATAAGTCATGGAGTACTCCAAACTGCTGCCCCTCCGCACCCCGTGGCTCCCTCAGACTCCGTGCTGATATTTTGAGAATTTCCAACCAAGAAGAGCTTTAAAATGCCCTGTAAAAGGAATCTCAGACGGCCTGCCCTGAGGCTCTCCAGGGAGCACTAGCCTCTGCCTCCTCTTTATCACTCTGCTCTGAGGTCTCTGCACCCCACACAGCCCCGCCGCCCTCCTGCCTCCTGGGAAACTGCCCTTTCTGTGTGGCTGTAGTGACCGGATTGTTTGTTTCAAGTGAACAGGTTTCATGATAGTTTCAAGGAGGAAGAGGCTTGTGTTCAGGTAGTAGGCACCCTGCTGGAACATAGTTATCTCAGAGTGGGTGGTTTTTTAAAGAAAACCTCACTGCCTTGGCTTCTCTCTACCTTCCTTTGGCCATAAAAAAAATGCTCTCAGCCCCTGATGGTGAGGTGAGCTGAGAGATGTGGTCTTGAGCTCCGGTTGTCAGAGAGCTTGCAGGGAAAGCAGGTCTGCTTTGGAGGGAGGGCACTGCTCTGCCTGGTGGCTTTGCTTCCTGAAGTCACAAAGAGGGGAAACGTAACTTTCCACCAGGAGTGACTTGAAAAGCCCACGGGAGTTTTCTCTTTCTGTGCTGCAGGATTTTAATAGTTCAGCCTATTTCCCTTGTCTCTCTTAGAATCTGACTCTTTCATTGCTATTTTCTGGTCTTGTCCACAGATTAGCCACCCTACATGTGAAAATCATCTCCTTCCACATTGCATGCTGCCCGACAATTTATTAAGATCAAAACGCAAATAGCACCCCTTTGGCTTTGCAATGAACCATATAGTCAAATCAGGAGCTTGGCTTTTAATATTTCCTTAGTTTGTAGCACACTGGCGGCGGCAGGAAAGTCATGCCCCAAAGTGCCTCCCACTGGCCCTGCAGAAACTCCCGGACTTGACAACAAGGGGGCTCTATGGCCATCAGTAACCAAGCAGGAAAGCACTGCATTTATATCTCTTTACTACTCAAGGCCATAAGGAAGCTATCACATTACACCTAGGTGTTTCGTATTCACACACACACCGTATACTCCCTTTGCTCCACACGAATGATCTGTTTTTTGTTGATGGTTGGTTGGGTGCCAAAACTGTGATAGGGTGAAAGAATCCAGATTTTTGACTTATTTCTCATACCTTATTCCTTATACGCTTAGCTGACAGGAAAGCCAGGGTTGGTTTGGAAGATGGGACTGTGCAGAAAACAAAGTTCAGAGGAATGGTGTAGAACTGGGGGTCGGCTGCAACCCCAAGAGCCAAAAACAGCAATGGAAATTGGGGTCCCCAAAGCCAAGGGTCTGACATCTCCATGAGAGGCAGCTGTGGCAGGAACTGATGGTGTTGCTGCAGCTGGCTCTGGGTGAGGCTGCGCCATGGAGAGGAGACTCCCTGTCCTATCACCTCGAGCAGGGTCCTCAGCCTCTGGGCTTTGCCTCCTCCCTTGTAATATGGTGATAATTCCAACTGGATTGTGTTGAGGATCACATGGGAGACTGTGAGCACAGCCCTCGCTTTAATTCCTAGCACACAAGAAATGCTATAAGAACTCAAAAAACGAAGTGTGATTTCTGTTCCCACCAACATTAATATATAAAAGTGTTTATTAACAAAAGGATACAATATTCTTTCTGCGATTTTCAGGTAGAGGAAAATATGCCTGAATATCTCCCTCACCTGCTGCTTGACCGTGGTAATTGTGTGGCCCAAGGCTGGGGAAAACACTACACGTGGTAGGGAAAGAATGATAGACGTCTTCTGCTTAAGAACGCCAAGCCCAACAGCCTCAAACAACCACAGAGCTTACAACAAGCAACAGAAGCCCTCATGAAACCCTTTCTCCACTATCTCCTTCTCTGGGACAGAATGCCACGCCCTGGAGTCTGGCATTCCTGGAGTCAGACTGACATCCTGCTCTTCCACTTACTGGCATCTGGTTACTTGGGGCAACTTTTCAACTTTTCTAAGCCTCAGTTTGTTCTTCCTTAAAATGGAAACAAAAATAAGATGTTTGTAAGATTTATTTATTTGTAAAGATTTATATATTTATCTGAGAGGCAGTTACAGAGAGAGAGAGGGAGAGATAAAGTGAGAGGTCTTCCATTCACTGGTTCACTCGCTAAATGACTGCAACGGCCAGAGTTGGGCCAATCTGAAGCCAGGAGCCAGGAGCTTCTTCCAGGTCTCCCATGTGCGTGCAGGGGCCCAAGCACTTTGGCCATCTTCCACTGCTTTCCCAGGCCATAGAAGAGAACTGGATTAGAAGTGGAGCAGCCAGGACTTGAACTGACACACATATGGGATACCGGTGCCACAGGTGGAGGCTTAGCCAATGACACCACAGTGCCAGCCCTCAGATTTTTGTCAGATTTAGTTGGAGTATATTTGTTAGCACCAGAGGAATTTATTACTAGTAGTATTGTTATTATTATTGAGATCACTGTGCTGTGGCCAAGCATGGAGGTGTCTCTGCAGGTTGTGCACACACAGACACACACACAGCACTCTTTTCAGACGTAATATTGTTTACTAACTGGAGAAGAAAGTAATTACATGTGAGTTATATGGGTGTCTGTCTTGTCTTACCATCTAATTTAGTAATGAGGACAGAAAATCTAAATTTACTACAGCTGTCACCCTTATCGGCAGGGGATGAGTACTTTTAAGACACCCAGTGTATGTCTGAAACCATGGATAGTATCAAAACTTATATACACTATTTTTTCCTATACATACCTATGATAAAAGTTTAACTTGTGGGACCGGCACCGTGGCACAGTAAGTTAATCCTCTGCCTGCAGAGTTAGCAACCCATATGGGTGCCGGTTGTAGTCGGTTGCTCCACTTCCAATCCAGCTCTCTGCTATGGCCTGGGAGAGCAGTAGAAGATGGCCCAGGTCCTTTGGCCCCTGCACCCACGTTGGAGACCGGGAAGAAGCACCTGGCTCCTGGTTCGGATCGGCACAGTTCCGGCCGTTGCGGCCATTTGGAGAGTTAACCAAT